GGCTATTTTTATTGTGCAATTTCTCCCCCTATACCAGTGTCGGGCAATTTTTTTGGGTGGGGGGCCACTTAAAGAGTTCTGGTGAGCTGTCGGCCACATGGGTAGCACCTTGACAGGTGCCCTTTCCCCTGGTTGCCATCTTGGGCCCAGAAGTCCCACCCCCACCAACCCCTGACCTTTGGCACTGGAAGCCCCCTCCTTTGCCCCCACATTCCCTGAAATACTCCTTTGGGGGGCAGGGGCTTGCCATCTTGGAGCCAGAAAGAAACCAAATCATACACTAAAAGTCAAACATTAGAACATACTTTAATTTTATTGCAAAAAATATTTGTCATGATTTGTCTTTGCATAGTGTATATAGAGGTGATTGCATAATAATTCTATATATGTAAAAGCCAATGTGTGTAACGCTTTATTCGCACTCTGATTGGCTGTCTCAGCAGCCAATCAGAGTGCAAATACAGCGTTATGTACAGCAGGAAGCAGAGTGCCACCATGACAGCAGGGGGTGGGGAATGGGGTCAGGGCTGCTGTGGTGCTGGGGAGCAGCCCTGAACCCAAACTGCCGGGGGGGAACGGGGTTGGGCCTGAAGCAACAGGGGAAGGGAATGGGGTCAAGCTCCAATGGTGGGGGGGGGGGCCAGACTCTGTCCCTGCCGGCCCTGGACCTCTGTCCCCACCCACCCTGCCTCCCCCTGGCAGGCAGTGGTGACAGTGGATAGGCCAGTGGTGCTGGCCCCGGTCCTGCAGGTGGTGGTGATGGAGCTGACCGATGGGGGACAGGGCCAGCAGACGAAAGCAGAGACCGCCTGGCCCCAGCCCTGAAGCGGCAGGGGGCAGAGAGGGAGCGGGCCTGGCCCCAAAGGTGGGGGTGGGGCAGGGCCAGATGCAGAATCTGCTGCCGCCCTCCCCTCCCCCCCTGTCATTCTTGACGGGCAATTGGCTAGTTCAAAAATAAATTCTTAGCCTTGTATATTAGTGGGGGGTGTATGTGTGTATGTATGTATGTATGGTGGGGTGCGGAGGGGTTGTGGGGGGATTGTGAGAGGGTGTGGCCTTGTATGTTGCGGAGCATAGGGTATGTTGGGGGGTTGTGGAGGCAGGGTGTGGGTTTGTGTGGTGTGTGTGGGAGGGTGTAGAGATCTGCACCCCCTCCCCCATTCCCCCCATGGCACAGCAGCAGCAGGTGAGGGTGCTCAGGGCTCTAGTGCCCAGCGGGGCACAGCTCCATCCAGCTCTGCACATCGCACTGAGGAGCACAGCGGGCAGTTTGTATCACGGGTGCTGGAGCCAGCTGCCTTCCCCACCCCCCAGGGGAAGGCGCCTGGAGCTTCACTCCCGCGCTGCGTGTGCCAGGGAGGGAAGTGCAGGGAGTGCCAGTGATGCAGACTGCCCGCCTGTGCTCCTCACTGTGATGTGCAGCGCCGACCAGAGTTGTGCCCCACTTGGGGCCTGCACTGGGCACGAGCGCTCTTAGTGCCCCTACCTGCTGCTGCCTCTGCCACCACCTGCCAGGGCTGCATACCATAGGGGGAGTGTGTGGGGATCCCACACCCCCCATGCTCCCTCACATCCACCTGCTGCCCACATGAGCTCTGTGCTACCACTGCCCCCTAGGCACGAGCTCCACGTTGCTGCCAGCCACACGCTTGGCGCTTCCACCTAGCTGTAGCCCCACCCCTGCCACTTCCCTCCCTGCCGCCCAGAGCCAGCAGGAGACTGGGGAAGTAGAGCAGGTCTGTGGGGGCTGCGGTAGCAGCAGCCCTGCCTGGAGGCTGTGTGCTGTCTGGGCCCAGCCCTTCCACCCATGAGGGTGGGAGTGAGGTGCAGTAGGGTATGTTGGGGTGGGGGGGGAGGTGTATACGTGGTTACTTTGGGTATACACATGGGTGCCTCGCTCCCACCCTCATGGGTGGAAGGGCTGGGCAGGGTGCAATATGTTTTTGGGGGGGCCGGGATAAAAGTGCTTGGTGGGCCAGATCCAGCCCACAGCCTGTATTTTACCTGTCCCTGCCCTATGCTTTCTGTAGTGGATCTCTCTGCAATCCTTATGTTTTCAGATGAATTTGATTTCCTGTGATACTAAGAATCTGCCATAAAGAAATTCCCAAAGTAATGTAATTAACTAGTAGCCTACTAGTTTGTTTGGAGTGAAGCTCAAGTTTTAGTGGTGTATGGGCAAGTTTTTATCCGCTTAATCTGTTTAGATTGCAACTGGTACCCCTGGCTTGTCTCCAGCTTCTCCCTGCTGTTTCCTCTTCCATTGTTTTGCCAGGTCCACACTGCAGTCGTACTTAAAGAGACAAGAGCAGAAGAGTCAAGCCAAAGAATACCCTGGTGGTAACCCCTTTGATAAAGGTTAGAATAGAGACTGTTCCATGGAAATCCCTACAGGGGAGTGTGTTTAAAATGATCAGGAAGCTCTGTTTTAAAATTAACAGGCAGTGCCCAACTGAGGTGGGAGTCCCAGGACTCTTCAGTTCCAAGCACCCAAAGATGCTTCCTCAAACGGTACCATTCCT